ATTATACTCAAAGGGCCAGTAAATATCACCCGGGGGCCGGATTTGGCCCGCGGGCCGCCAATTGAATAGCCCTGGTCTACATGATGATGCCTGCCGAGATGGCCACTTCCATACTGATCATAAATCAAAGCCCTCGATTGGTCTCTGTGTGTCATTCAAGCTCGGGAGGGTGTGTGTGGCACGAGCGAGAGAGAGGGTGAGAAAGAGATAGAGAGAGCGTGCACCGGTTACTTGTATTTTTGTTGTTAGCATCTGGTTAGCTAGCTGCTCTAAAAGACATAAGGAGCTGTTTCAACAACAAGTTGGAGGGAGAGCCCTCTGCTGTCAGACTGAGAGAGATAAACAACTCAGGTGAGGTTAGGGTCTCTCTGAGTGTTTAGATAGTTAATTGTAGTCTGAGTTATCTCAGTGGGTCTCAAACAAAGTGTTTACAAATTATGTAAACACATATTTCCAAGGCACTCCTTTATAATGATTAGGATAAATAAAAACAGGTTTTAAATCATTCCAATGTATACTATAGGACAGTAAACCAAAAATATCGTTTAAAGTTGGAGAGATACAAAAATATGCATAAATTAATAAATGTTAAGGTAAAATAAGATATAAATGAACAACAAAAATTAAATAAGTTACATTTATTTGTTACTGTATTGGCTATGGTAGGTTATTGGTTATGTTCACATTAAAATGTAAACCGACCTTTTTCATATAGGTGTTTTAGAGTTGTACCCCCTAGATCAGGTCTCATTTCATCTCGTAATTGTGTGCTCAAAATGCACCAGATTGAAGCATTTTACTTTAAAATGTTCAAACAAATCTTCCCGGGACGAATGAGAACTGTTTTAATTAAATATTAATTATTATATTTGTGCAAAACCTATAACCCTAGAGTTCCCTCCAGAGGGAGTTTCTCTCCCGTACACCCCCCCTGCCTGAAATTCCTCCATTAGACTCCTTTGTTTACTCCCCTAACATAGTGACATCACTGACACTCTTGCTTATATTGGCTATCGCTCCAACACATTGTACTTGAGAGGCTAAGAGGCAGGACATCTCTAGGCAGTTGACCAATCACAACAGAGCCGGCCAGATAACCAATCAGAGCAGACTGGGCTCTGGTTTCAGACAGAGGGTCAAAAGAGGTGCTGCAGCACAGGCAGTATGAGAAAAATAAAGTGCTTTTTGAAAATTAAAGCATGGAGACATTTCAAAGTAGAGACACACAATACAAATATAAAATGTGAAAATTAGCATGATAAGGCCCCTTTTAAGTTAAAGTGATAAAACAAAATCCCAGTGCAGCCTGTTGCTCTGAACCTGACCTTTGGCAAAGAAGAATAAATGTATTAAATCAAAAAAAATTGGCGAGTACAAACATATCTGGGGACCTCAGGCTGATCTGTGTTTAAAAGGTCTGTGGCTTGGTACATTAGTCCTCAGTGCCTTAAAGGTAATTATTAAAACAGCAATTCACTTATGCAAAGATACCTAATCTGGGCTCATGTTTTTTGATCTTCCATAGAAGCAACACTAAACTCATGAAGATGTTAAGAGATGACACTTATCCTACGTATTAGCTTGTTTCTTAAGCCTTAAAACCCACTGTCTGTGCCGTATGTCCAAAAAGGATTACAGCGCTTACTGGAGGCTGAATTCGCTCTGTGTTCCCTGGCAACCAAATGCCAATGCAGCCAGGGCCGCGCGTTGGTGAGGAGGATGGAGTGGGTGTCTGATTTATCTCCTGTCAGCTGATGTTTACTGCCCTTTGTATCAGTACCCGTCAAAACTCGCTCGCTGCTCTGGAGTCCGATGCTGATATGCACACAAGCTTCATAACAGCGAGCCACAAATCACACCAATCAAGAAAAGGTTTAATGAAGGTCACTCCCAGTGCGTTTGTGCAGGTGTATGGCTGGATGCATTCATTATAAATGGCCATTACTGACATGGGGATGAGTTGTGTGTGCTGAGCGTTGCATTGAATACAAGAAGTGTGACGAACCGTTTGGTTGGCTGTAAAATGGCTTTTGCACAAGAGCAGGAAGTGTGGGTTTCAAATGAGAAAGAAAGCTGTCAGTTATGTAGGTCAGCTATGTTTAGCAGCCTGGAGAAAAGTGCAGAAATACCTGATTTTGTGTTGTCAAATCAGAAATTAAGTCTTTAAGAAACTATTAAAAAAGTTATGAATTCATATCCATGACTTAACTCAGAGAAAATGTCCCTTATCTCTTTCAGATTGACCTTCGTGATGACCCCAAGACCATTGCCAAACTGAATGACATGAAGGAGAAGCCCATACCCACTGAGCAAGGACAGAAACTAGCAAAGGAGGTTTGTTTGTTTGTTTGTCCTACTAAAGAATAATGAGTAATGATTTGCTAACGAAAGAGCTAGATGCTAACTGTCAGTGTGGTAGGATTTAGCTGTCATGTCCAGTTAGATTCCTGTGTGTTGCTTTGACCCTGCAAGTCTCTGTAGGACTGTCTGGAATCAGACCTCTGTGCATTCTTTGCCTCAAATAAATTCAGAAATACATTCTAGGTCCTCATGGATGTCAAAAGTAGTTACAGGCTGTCCGACATAGATACCAAATGTGGCCTATGATTAATTAATCCTGTCTGACAGAAATTGAGAATAAAAGTCAAACGTTAAAAAATTACAATATACACCCATCTCAAAGTATTAAAGGTCCCATGTCATGCTTTTCCGGTTATTACCCGTCCCCTTGTGTGTTATGAAGGTTTTCTGCATGTAAACGGTCTGCAGAGTCACAAACCCTCAAAGTACACCCTGTAGCGAGTAAAACTCTAATACAGAAAATACCTGTCTATGCTGCACCAGAACGCCTCGTTGGAGATTTCTCTTTTTTCCATTGTTTTCTTCCTGGGTACTGTGACGTGCCCATACCCAAATGGACCCATTGGTCCAAATGGACTAATCCATGGAGCCGTTACGTTACCCCCGCCGAGCCGTTACGTTAAGTCCATGGACCAATCCACGGACTTCCTCACACACACAAACTCAATCTTTTCTCAGCTCCGCCGATTTCTCCTCCCTGAGACAGCGGGACGCGGCGAGGCTGTTAGTCGGTGTGATAGCACACACACAAACTCCCAGCCAGGCTGCGTGTGTGTGTGTGTGTTCGGGCTGGTTTCGGCCTGGTCTCGCTGTCTCGCAGACGGCCACTGGGCTCATAGGGAGGGGGGGGGCAGGAGCTCCAACAAGCCGTTTAGGACAGAGAGTGAATACACATACTATACAGAGATGCTGTATGAGAAAATGTGATTTTGGAAAATTGCAAAATATAAATCTATTCTAGTAGACCTCAACAATGGAATTATGATCAGTAGAAATGGCCAAGACATGGGATCTTTAAAATTTGGATTTTTGGCAATCTAATATAGGATTTAGGCGTGTTTTATGTCTTTTTGGAGTCATGAAGTTTTCTGAGGCCACAAAAGTTCCATGCAAGATCGTTTTCAGATTAAAATAAATATTAGGTTGTAATTTTGTCAATGTGAACAGTTTTTTACCTTGGACATTATCTCTTACTGTTGTAGACCTGATTTCCATATAAATCCTTCTAAATATTCGAAAACCAACCAAAAAACTCAAAATGAATGAAACCGAAATGAAATGATGTTTTCCCTAGTTTTTAGCCTCTTTTGTATATATCGGAGTTATAGGGCAAAGCATTTTTTTTATTAGACTCACTGTGCTGCCGTTGTGAAAGTCTCAAACACTAACAAATGATTCTCGGAGAGTGCCAAGGCCAATGGTGCATTCAGGTGCTCCACAGATGGTTCCGTAGGTTGCTTTCTGGCTACGGTGTGTTCATGAGCCTAAAGTCTTAATTTGGAAACAACATTGATGCTACAAGATGTGTTTGTTTTTTTACAAGTGTACAAATTAGGAGCTATTTTGTGCTCAGGAAGTAGTGGTTTACGAGATTCTCGTATTAACTATTGGCAAGAAAGACAATCTATTCCTTTACCTATCATAACTGCTAGTTTACCATTGTATTGTACCTGCATTTTTGACGGATGTTAATATTTGTGTCCTCCTCAGATTGGTGCATGTTGCTATGTGGAATGTTCCGCTTTGACACAGAAAGGCCTGAAGACGGTGTTCGACGAGGCCATCATCGCAATCCTGACTCCCAAGAAAAAGAAAGGAGCGCTGAAGAGAAGACTGGGACCCCGCTGCATCAACTGCTGCCTGATCACGTGATAAATTAACCTCCTGGAGATCAGTCAGCAACAAACCATAAACCAAACCTGGACTGCAGGCAAAAGACAGACAAAAGAAAAATGCACAGACAGCAGAGTGAGAAACAAGAGGACTGAAAAGGACAAAACAAGAGCTACTTTTATGCTGCAGGGCTCTTGAAAGGCCATAGCTCTCTCCTGCTGTCCCACACAGGTTGAGGATGCAGTCTACTACCAAAGGAGCACAAAACCCAAGTCTGTCTCTTCTTCTAAGACTTTTAGCTCCTGACGTACCTTCTTTTATAACCATTTGTAATCATTTGTTCCTTGTCTCAAGCTGTCATGCAAAGAGGTCATATTATTTCTATGGTTTGAAAGCTACATTTGTGCATTTCTCTTCAAAAAAGAGCAAATCAGAGAAAGCCTGCAACCTGTAAATAATGAGAGTCTGACCTAAGTGACACTGTGACAGTGGTGAAGACTCTGTAAGTCTGTCTCCAATGATATGCCAATTGGGCCCTGCAAACAATATCACACAAAATGCAACGAGTGCAATTCTGCCCAGAAACCACATTTTGGACCTAAAACTGTATTATTTTAAAGTTTAAGCGTCTTGCTTTTGCCTTATGAAACGTATTACTTTAGAGTGTGGCATGCCAAAACATATTGCAAGTTCCAGGCTGAGTTTTTAATCAGGAACTCAAGAGGTCTATTATCCATTTTCTAAATATATATTGTTCAGAGTTTATGATTCTATGTCTCTAAGATAGAGATGATCTTGTCAGCTAATAATAACTTTCTTTTCGTTAGATTTTTGATATCCTTCAATAATGTGTTATTATGTTATCAATGTCAAGAAGGTTCAGAAGAGATCTCATTTAAGAAGATATAGAATGATTCACATCCGACTTCCAAAGAATCTAATGCACACTTTTCACAAAATCATGCGGCTAGGTGACCCAATACTGTATATCTAAGGCACAACATGAATCGCAGTCAGTGCCATTTCATTTCCGGCACAACAAAGCACATTCCTCAGCTTTAAACACAGTTGTCTCTCTGAGAAGGCTGATTGAAGCACAGAAGATGCACACTGTTCCAGCAGGCACAACTATGAGCATAGCACACTAACCACGCACAATCATAGTCCATCCAGTATCCAAAATACTTCAGCTTTTCAGGGAAGACATGGACTCAAGAAGGGGTTGCATCAGCTGTTCAAAAGTTTAAACTTCACTCCAATTTAAAATGGGGTGCACAACACAAACTGTGTTACATAGCCTTAGCCAACTGAACAAACTGACGTTAGCTTAAAAACCATGACTCCTTTCGAATGGATAATGGAAAATGGTCGACACATCTGACCTGATGTTTAAAACATTCAAAACAACAAAATATCCCTGAAAAAACTACATAAAAAGCCAATAATGCTGGGCTCAATCATTACATTACATTACATTTAGCTGACGCTTTTATCCAAAGCGACTTACAATAAGTGCATTCGACCAATCTTATCTTACAAACTTGAAGAAAACCGAATCATATAAGTACATCAGGTTTCGTAGAGCTAAAAACATTTCAAGTGCTACTCAACTGGCCATAGATAAGCCAGTCCTTTATTAGTATATGAGTGCTTTGTTAGCAATTCTTTGTTAGTGATTCTATCGCTCAAAGTGGAGTCGAGCTCAATCCCTAGCTAACGTTAAATATTGTATGTTAGCATTAGCCTAACTACCCACCTGTCATCAGACGGTTTGAGTTGGTTTACAGAAATATAAATAGGTCGGAGGGTTCTTCCACCAAAAGCAGAATGATAATGGAACAGATTCTGCATTTGTATGCCAAGATATGACAAGATTTAGTTATCGGAAGCATTAAAAAGCATTAAAACATATAGGCTAAAATGCAATATCGTCTTACGATGATTTAACTTCTATTTATTTTTAAATTTGGTTGTAAACTGGCTACTTGTGAAAGAATGGAGTTGTATGTGTGTTTATCAACTACTCCAACTTGAGTCTAACAAATTGCTTTTATAAATCGACCGGCGCACCACGGTCGCACCGGAACCACCCCAAAATACAAATATAGCCCTTATTGGAATAAAACTATTGCTCGGATAAATGTTGTCTCTTTATACCCAAATGCTGTATCTCGAAATGAAAGAAAAGTGAAAAATTAAGTGTATCTGCCCTGTGTTTCAGATCCGCTTCAAAATGTAACATGTTTGTCCTTGACCCATACTACACCCTTGCACCAGTGTGATGAAAATCAGCCCAGTAGTTTAGCTGTAATCACTAAATTGAAACTAGCTCATAGTCACTAAGAACTTTTAAAGGACTTTACATACAAACTTAATGATGGATTAATGAAAAGATGGTGCAACCCCATGCAGAAGTTCATCTTTCGATAGAGTTTAAATAAAAAATGATTGCTTAATTCAAAGTTATAAGGTCCTCACATGACAGCTTTTTATATGATCTATAGAAATGTGAGTCCGACAACCACACGTATACTAATCCCATCTTTTAGTCACGCTGAAACAGTTAGATTGCCATATAGAATAGATTTTCCGTGTAATAGTCAAATTATAGGACATCTCCAATAGCAATTGAGATACTATGTGGAGTTTACCTGGATTTGGAGTTCTTTATATATCTCTATGATCTCCAAAAACAAGTGTATGCAACAAAGGTTTAAAGCCTATGTCTATAGTAGGCCTACTGTAGGTAACAACTTTAGTGTGTGACTCTTGCAAGCCAAACATCCAAAAATATCAGCTCTTCTCATTTTTAAGCATTTATCGGCTTTTTCTAACTTTTTCAAAAGAGATATTAATCAAAGATGCCAACTCTTGCTGAATGACTTGTGTTGATATTGTGTTGGGATACGATGATTGATTAAAGCTTTAATGTAAACGGTGCTCCTCCTCTCTGTCCCAGCCTGCGTTGTATAACCGTGTCTCTGCGGGGTGAGCAGCCTTCCCACTCGGACAGTTTTGCTTGCTTACGTTGTGTGACGGTCCGCCCTCAGGATACAGGACCTAAAGTGCCGCAGCCACCAATGCATTATCCTGTTGATGCTCCTCTCTTCTCAATAAATGTGTTAACTGTGTTAATAAGCCGGCTTGGAGGGTTTAACTTGGACGGCGTCAGATGTGCGGCGCTACACATTTGTGAAATTAACTTCTGGTTCAATATGGGTCATACCTGGTTGAGTTGATAAGTATGTCAAGTGAATTAAACGCTGAGGCGATTTCAATACAAACACATTTTTTATATTCATCGGATGTTTTTAAAAGTTAACTGTTTCTTTTTGAAATCCTGAATTTCGTGACTTTGCATCATTGCTACTTTTACTCAGTGAAATATTTTGTTCCCCCGGTAGTGTAACAAAAATAATATAGCAGAAGTAGTGATTAGAAAAAAAGAAAAAGTTGCAATTCATAATCCCGACAAATGTAAAAAACAATGAACACTTGCACTGTGTACGGGTCTTTTTGAATGATGGTGAATGTGTTAACATTTTTGTGTGTGTTGTGATGGCGTGCCTGTATCAAAGTTGGTGTGTTTGTTGTCTAGTTTTCGTGTGTGTGTGTGTGTGTGTGTGTGTGTGTGTGTGTGTGTGTGTGTGTGTGTGTGTGTGTGTGTGTGTGTGTGTGTGTGTGTGTGTGTGTGTGTGTG